AGGAATGCACCGGATGCGACTCAGTCATTGGTTACCTCACTGAAGATACTGGCAAGACCTCTGGGGTGAAATGAGAGTCCTGGCTAAGAGGAGCATGAACTTACTTAGAGGACCTCAAGGACTGTGGAGAGACCAAGTGGCACCAAGTAATGCTCCACTGGCAGTTCCCGGAGCAGAAATCCTGGGAAAGGGAGACGGACAGATAGCTTCTATTGGAGCATTTTGGCTCTATGCTCTTCCCATTGCCCAGTCAGCAGCCACTGAACCAGCCACTACTAATGATGGGGAAAGGAGGCTACCTTGAGTGCCACCCCTTCTCTTCCCCTCCCCTCAGATGAGCAAGAAGAGAAGAATTTGTCCCATGGAAGGCAAGAGCAGAACATGATTCCACCTCTGTCTCTAGTGCCTCGGGATGGCATAGGTCGGGAAGTGCAGTGCAGAGAATGAGGATGGAGAAACCTGCTGAGGAGATACTCTGTGGAAATCTAGGTCCCAGCTCACTTAAATTCATGTTATTGATTTGTTCTGCCAAGGGTGAAGCATGTTGGCCTTCATTTCCTCCAAAATTTATTTCCTACTCTCCTGAGGAAGTATCTTTGGCCTATATTGGCCCTATCTTTACTGCTCTCCCTGTTGCATGCTGGCATGTAATGTGCCTGGGGCTTTAGGTTTCATTACTGCTTGTAGGTCAAGACTGGCCACATTTTGCAGCGTTTCTGAAGGAATAAATATATTTAGTATGTTAAAGGTGTCTTATCTTTCTTTCCTCTTAGCTTTTGGGGGTTTCGTAATGGTTTTAAGCACTTCTTTTAAGCATCTCTCTCTTATTGGCCGGTCTTTTGTGCAGGCACTGAGTATTTCCCCATGAATGTTAGGCCTACGTGCACAGTGCACCTTCTACCATGTGAGCATATCAGCCTCATGGACTGCTCTTTCTCCTAGATGGCTGCAAGCAGTGGATCCCAAATTCTGAGCTGTGAGAAGCTGACATTAAGGTTCTTTCTTGACAGATATGAAACCTGCGCCAACCTACCTCGGTGTCCATGACATTTGAGAGAGTGGTGGTCAAGTGATCCAGTACAGATGCTTTGAGTGTTCCCTTTATAATTGCCCTGTGGGAGCTAAAAGTCTAGTGGGATGGACCTACAGAAGCTGGTCTGCTGGCAGCTGGGCACATGCAAAATCACCAGGATGGGCATCCTGACCTAGGTATGTTCCTGCCTGTAAGCAGGAGGAGGGTTCTGATCTGTCTGTGCAAGTACTTGTCACGTGATCCCAAATAGTTTGGCATGGAGACATCCTACAGTAAGGTAGATCTCAGGAATTTGTTTCTACCTCCCCACTGCTTCCTTAAACTTTCTTTGTTAACCATTCTATAATACTGGTTAATGTCTTTCCTGACTCCTCCTGTTACAATTGTCCAGAAACACAGCGGTAACAGTTTATAAGCTTTATGACACGAAAAATGTGCTTTTATAGTCCCCTTGTACTGCCTGGAAGTTCATGTAAGACCAAACATGATAGGCTGAGAGTGGCTGTGGGAATGGGTGGCCCAGGCTGGGTAGTGCATTCCCTTTATACTCAGTTTAACACCTCATCATATTGTATTTAGGCTCCTAAAATATCCGTTCTCCAAAATGAAGGCATCTGGAGGTTTTAAGGAATGTCTAGAGGTACCTAGTGCTTAAATGTAGGTGCTTTGACTCACTCTGCTTTAAGACACTTAGGTCCGTGACTTAGAAATTCAATTAGTCTTGTCCTTTCATATATTTGTCCAGAAAGCTGGCGAATATTCAAGGACCTTCTCCTCCAAGCTCAGGAGCGAGGTATCCCAATGAAGAGGAAGTCGGGTAAAGACACCAGGAGGCCTGTGTGGATGAACAAGCAGCTCCTGGACAAACTGAGGCACAAAAAAGAAGCCTACAGTGGACGGAAGCAGGGACAGGTAGCCTGGGAGGAGTACAGGGAAGTTGTCTGAGAGGTCAGAGGTCAGGTTAGGAAAGCCAAAGCCCTGACAGAATTGAACCTGGCCAGGGACATCAAGGCCAACAAGAAGGGCTTCGATAG